ATTGTGTATTTTACAATGAGATGAAGTAGCCTATTTATAAGCCAAAGTAGATCAAAGCTTATGTCATGGATTACACCATGAAAGAGGGATGATGTCATGGATGACATAGACACTAACACTTAACAACAACCTAAAACATAACCAAGGGGCTCTAGTCTAGTTGGCTAGCCCTTTGGCCACCAAGTCTCTCCTAAAGGGAGGTCTTGGGTTCCACTCTTGGGAGTGGAATAGGAGGGGAAGATTTTCTTACAAGGTGTGTAGGTGTGAGTTTCAACTCCCCCGAGAAACTAATCTAACAACTAATCACTAACTTTCGCCTATCAAAAAAGAAAAAAAAATAAAAAAAAAAAAAGAAAACTTAAAACATAACCACCATACTAACTCTAATTACATCAAAATCCCTCTATAAAGAAAAACTTGTCCTCGAGTTAGGACATGAACAAAATTACTCAAAATAGCATTAATAGAATGACTCAAAACAATAACTCATGGAGACAAAATGAACTTGCAATGATGAATAAGACTATGTCGTTGCAAGTACTTATTCCAAAATGCACCCTAACAAATACCCCTCCTTGAAGGTGAGTTTCCGTTTATGCACATCCACTGAAGCCATGTTCAAGTGTGAGTAGACCATCCATATAGCATGCCACTTGAGAAACAAGATGTCATCAAAATAGCTCTTCACACATTATCAAAAGGCACCAAGCACCATGCTTCTTAAACAAAGCAAGCCCTAGTATCAAGTCCACACAAAGTGGACTAACTAGTGTCGAAGGTAGGACAAAAGACACTTCTTGAGAACAAAGATCACCCAACATCCATGGAACCTCATCTTCATGAATCTCCTCCATAACTTCTTTTGAATTTAGAGAAGGGATGGAAGGTTGGGTTGTAACCACTTTTTTCATGAGAAGCAATGTAAGAGATGTAAGTGCAAAGCAAATATCGCTCCCACCGCCTAGAAGTAGAGCACCATCATTGTCATATGCTTCATCTCCAAATCATTTTCTCCATCCACAAGAAGATCACTGTCTTCATCATAAGAATCAAAGATTGGAACATCATCAAACCTACGAAAGACAACTTCATCACAAACCGATTCTCTTCATAACCATAATCATCAATTTCTTCACAATCCAACTCCACATTTGTTTGGCGCATCAAAGGGAAAAACATCTTGATTATAATCTTATTCCACCTCTTCATCAAAGATAGAAACATCTTGATCCCAACCTTGTTCGTGGTTGCAACTTTGTCCCATATCTTTACCACTAAAGATTGACCTTTCATCATCATCATATCTTTGGTGTAATCTCTTCACTAAAGAGTGTACTTGAAGATGTCCATCCTCACAAAACTTATTCTATTCAAAACTAATCAAATAATCATCTTGGTTATAAAATGGTTGGCCAAATTCAAAGATGCCTTGTTGGATTTGAAAGCAATCTTCCTTTCTTGCTTGTCTCCCAACAAAGAGTGTATATGAGTGAATGGTAGGAATTGCTCAGGGAACATCTTTCTCATCTACCTCCGCTCTTTAATCTTTTCTTTGCTTTTTCTTGCCTATTAACTTGTAATTCTTTCCACCAATCAGAGGCATGACCTTTGAGACTTTGAAAGACCAATTTCACCTTCCAGACTTTGAAAGACCAATTTCACCTTCCTTGCTTCCAACATATCATAACACACCAAATGACTCTCAACAATGTCCAACCACTTCACAAACACATTCGGGATATGGCTCCCATGAAATTTGGGAAGCACAAAATCCTTAACAATGCCACTCCATTTAGAGTCAAATTCATTTGTAAACATGCTCTATGCTAATGTAGAGCAGTTAAGAGAACCATCAAATTCGATTCGATTGGAGGTCACAAGCCTTGCACCCAAGGTTTCAAAAAACGGTGTTACGTAATGGTTGTAGCTGATACCCGTTACATCCGCTTTTCAAGTGTAATGAAAATTCACATGTGTAACGGCCGTTTCGGTGTTACGTAATGGCCTAACGGCTCATTACACACCTTTACAATATTTTGAATAGCTTTCTTTCCAAAAACCAAAAAAAAAACATACAAAAAAAATAACGAATACTCAAGTGATCCAAATCCAAAGAAAAAACCTTGCACGAATTTTTTTCCTTTATAATTTTTATTTCATTATATTAGCATGTAAAATAAAAAATATCTAAACAGTGGTTGTGTTGATTTTTATAATCATTTCATTTAATATTTAATTGTAAAGATTTTTTGTTTTGTTACTGTAATGTGTTGTCTAAAGAATGTCTTTAAAAAAATCATTAGCTCAAAATAATTTTTTCTTATGGCACAATTTTTATTTTTATAATCATTTCATTTAATACTTAATTGTAAATAATTTTATTTAATTAGCTGTAAAGTGTTGTCTAAAAAACTGTCTTTTAAAAAAAATAATTGTTGTTTATGGCACAATTTTTATTTTCATAATCATTTCATTTAATAACTGTAAATATTTTTTATTTAGTTAGTTCAGGTATTAGTCAAAAATAATTTTGTAGACATTTGAAATCAATTATTCTTAAAGTCACTAACTATTGAAATAAAATGTAAAAAGCTCCCTTTATAGTGATTTAAAAATATGAAACATATTGGATCATACTTAAAAACTAACAAAAATTGATCAAAATCTATTTTAAACCCTAATAAATGTGATTTTGAAGAGAGAGAAAAAAAATATGCGTATCGGTAAGTTTTTTTTTCAAATTGTTCGAAAAATTAAAAAATTCACGGTTTCGGTTACCACAACCGTTATGCTACAACATTCACACTCTGCAACCGCAACTGCAAGCGTGCCACCGCAACCATTACGGCAACTGCAATTGCTTTTCGAAACCTTGCACCTTTCCAATCAACGTAGCAACTTGTTCACTCAACTCTTCAATCTCATTCCATTCATTTTGGTCTATCATTGTTCCTTTCAAGTGAGCACTCAACGCAATCTCGTCTTTCAAATTCAGAGCAAAATCACTATGAAGACTACCTCATCATCCTCTACCTCTATGATTCATTAAAGTAAAATGTTCCGATAATCAAAGAGTCACAGTAGTACTGAATTAGTGGAGTCCAGCTCAACATGTAACTAGTTTAGAAATTACAATCAAGTCACAAGTAGTGCAACTTTCACAATCTGCGTCAAAAAAATGAAGGTCCTCACACTCACACTTATATAGATGTCAAGTTCCAGCTTACAGAAACTATCGAATGTTATGAGAATGAAGATCGAATCACGATATGAACTCAAATGACAGATTCGAATCACAATAGCCATCAAATGACAAAATACCAACGGCAATCGAATATAAAGGGAGATCTGAAGACTTTGATCAATGAACTATCAAATCACAAAATACCGTAGGCAATCGAATATGAAGGGAGATCTGAAGACTTTCATCAATGAACTTACAAATAGCTTCGACTTCGACTTTGGACTGTAGATCAGTCCGAAATCAGTTCACGAAATTAGACTGCTTGGACAGATAAGAAATCAATTCGCAAGTTGAAGTTGAGAAGTCGAATACAAACTCATGATCTAAGTGATGAAATCAAACTTCCATCCAAGTGTTGAAGTCAAACTCTGATCCAAATCCAAGTCGCGAAAGTTGAATTGCGATTGTGACCAAATCATGAACTCAGATTTGAAATTAAAATTTGATATGGTTTGAAAAAATGCTCAACTTGTAACCTAAGGTTTCAGATAGAGTCAGATCTCATTTAGGGTTTCATATCAAGTTGGATCTCATTTCTAGTTTTGGATCAAGTAGGATCTCAACAAAGAGTTTTGGATTTGATCAAAGTCACGACATAAATCGAGATATGTGAAATCTGATTTCAAATTGAAGTGACTGCAAATCGAAGCTTGAAGTCAAAGAAGCAAGTCTGAAAGGTAGTGATGCTCGAAATCTCAAAGATTAGGGCTAAAACTAGATGACACTAAATCGCAAGATGTTGATCACATGAGGGTAGGGTTTCAAACCAAACAACTCCATTCAAAGTCAAGTTCGTATCTTCCTCTAATTTACGCAATGAATTTATAAACCAAAAAAGAAAGGATCCAACTTTGTGCTCTAATATCAAAATGAGTTTTAACGAAGAGATTTCATTAGAGAGAAAATCTCAATTAGAGATACAAGAGCTATCAAGCTCACAAAATACAATTCTAAAAATATCATCAAACTTTTAAAGAACCTGACCACCTTTTTAATAGGCGAATGCCAACTAAGCAAGCTAAAACATAACAACCATACAAAATTCTAATTACATCATCCTCAACCAATCAACATGTGACCTCAGGTTATATAGTAAATTATGATATTATATAATACTGTCACTAACATTTATTTTTTTCAGTACATTAACTCATAATGCGTATGTGTGCATGTGCATGTCTAAATGGTACCAATTACACGAACTTTGGGCCCGTTTGGTTTGTAGTTGAATAGATAGGTGTGAGAGAAAAGTGATTGAATGAAGTGTAGGATGTGAGAGAACGAGAGAGGAGAGAGAAAAAGTGATTGATTGATATGCAGAACGACAGAGGAGATAGAAAAAATGTTCAAATAGTTTTGAGAAAATAGTAAACAAAACAAATTTTGGGTTTTGAGCTCTCAAAAATTGTTTTCAAAACAAACCAAGTAAGGCCTTCGATTTTCCAAAAGGAAAATCCTGGCTCAATCTAGGATTGTGAGGTCAAATTTGCTAACATCAAGCTTAAAATTAACTCATAAGGCTTATGATTGGTGCATAGATGGTTAGGGTAATGGTACAAAATTAGCACAATAACATTTGTAGTAGGCACGCAAATAGCATATGCCTGGTTGGGGTTGCACATACAATAAATAACATAACGAAAAAAATATTAGGAAATAAAGGAAAACTATACTAAATAAAAAGAGAGAGAATTAACTACCAGCACAATCAGAATTCACTCACAGAAGCTGTAGAAAAAACAATGAAAATTATTACCTTGGCACTTTGAAGTTTATTATTAAGTTCCTGAAGTCCTTCCTCGACACTCCTTTTCCTCCCACGGGCTTGTTGAGCTTGTTCTTTTGCATTCAATGCATCCCTTTCTAGATTCTTAATTTGATCATCATATGAACCAGAAAGACGACTGTTTCTAGCCTTCTTATTTGGAGGGAGAATGGTCTGGGCTGAACCACGGGAAAACCTACGTATACATAATTGATAACAATGTTTAATAGTTGATAACTGTATTCAAATAGTATAAAACAAATTAGATTTTAATGTGCATGGGAAGTAAGGAACTGCAATAGACAGATCTAACACATTGAAAGCAACACATTACTTGAAACAGTCACCAAATCTGCAAATTTTGACTGAGGAATATTTCCATACAAATGCTGAGATTTGAACAAAGAAAGAAGGCATTGCATCTAAGTAGTCTTCTTAATTCTTTGAAGAAAGGAATTTACCATTTGAATTATGTCCTCTCTCACCTGAGGTCTAATATTTGTTTTCAACTCTGGTAAATATTTCAAGGATCCTTTTGTTCCTCATCCACTATAGAACCTTTTGATCCTCCTACCAAGTGGAAAGTTCTGCACAGTTTTGTGTCACTAATTTTACACCATTGTATTCACATGATCTGAGCAGGTATTGGTATTAAAATTGCAAGTTTCACTTAGCTCATCCAAAAAAACTGCCCTATTACTAAAGTAAGGTTACAAGTTAATTTTCCAATCAGACCATAGGATAGTTAGGGCTACAAACGAGCCGAGCCGAGTTGATAATATTTGAGCTCGGCTCGACTTATTTGGAAGGTGTTCAAGCTCGGCTCGAGCTTGAAACAAGCTACGATATCCAAGCTTGGCTCATCCAAAATTTATGTAACTCGAGCTCGGCTCATGGTGGCTCATTAAGCCAAGAGAGAACCATGGAAAACAATAACCCTCGGCGCTTATATAGAAATTTGTCCACCTTAAAAAGTATTTTGCAATTGATGGGGGACTTCCAACAAACGCACTAAACGACGCCGTTTGGAACATGTTGTTGCATTCTTTGAGTCCCACATCGCTAAAGAGAGGAAAACACAAAGTCCTTGATGCTTATAAAAAGGAAAGCGAAGGCAAAGAAAGGAAAGCAAAGGCAAAGCTTTCATAAATTATTTTTTATATTAAAATAATCGTGATCATTATTGATGATTAAGTTAAAATATTTGAACAAATATAATAATATATAATATATATATATATATGTATTATATAATAAAATATACACATATGAATATAAAAATTAAAAATTAATATTTAAACTTTTGAGCTTGCCAGCTTATTCGAGCTGAGCAATATTAAGTTCGAGCTTGGCTCGTTTATTAATCGAGCTTGGAATTTAAGCTCGAACTCGTTTATTTAGTTAGTGAACCGAGTTCGAATGAGCCTTAACAAGCCAAACTCGAGTTTATTCAAGAACAACTTGGTTCATTTGCAGCCCTAAGGATAGTTAGGGATTCCTTATATATCATTTGGATAATGTGGTTGATAATTTTCATCCTCAACCAAAAATTTGTCATCAGTTAACATTTCCATAGACATTACTCATGCCAATAACTTCGTCATCTAGGCTTCATCGAACACATCAGACATCCTTGTGATTGAACATAACACCGTGAAGGGATGCATGAGAGGTGACTAATAAGTGATAACTGACAAATTGCTGATGACATCTCCGACAATTCCACCTCTAGCATCTAATAATTTGCAAATGAGGCGCATGCAATGCACGTATAACTTAGCATATTATTGTTCTAAAAATTAATGGGCACCCTGTATTAGATCATTTATACATAAAGGTTATAAATATAGAGAATTCGACATAATAAAATCCCATACACATGTAAATGTATGAGTATGTATTACATATATTAGCATTCAATTATTTTATGTATTCAGCTCGCACATAGCTGCTTAAAGTATGTGGACCACTATGCAATTATTTAATTTGAGTGGAGTGGGCACACTCAAATGAAACAAAATAATAATAATAATAATAATTCATGTTTTGTATGTGTGGGTTGTGGCCCCTTGGTGCCTTTTCTCAAAACATGCGAAGATGAGAGGAGAAGGGAGACATGAGAGGCGAGCCCTAGAAGACAAGAAGACACAAGCCCTAGAAGACAAGCAGAGAGAGCAACACAACGAGAGAGAGATGAGAGGCAAGAGAGCAGCTCAACGAGAGAGGAGAGAAGTGGAGAGAGAGAGAGAGAGAGAGAGACGGGAGGTTTGAAGCGAAAGAGAAAGAGAGACGAACCTGACCGACGAACCAGGTACATAGCTTCTTCTTCTTCTTCTTCTTCTTCTTCTTCTTCACTTTCTGTTCTGATTTTGAGATTTAGGCATGTCCTGGCATGTCCCTCAAAAAAAAAAAAAAATGAAATTCAAGGGACACGCCAAATGGCGTATCCCGTAAGTGTCAGAGGCGTGTCCCTATGTCCTCGTGTCCGGCACCGCCACGACACTTGTTTAGACCTGTTAAAGGCGTGTCCCCGTGTCCTCATGTCAAACACCGTCACGACACCTGTTTAGTCGTGTCCATGCTTCATAGTATATAAATAATAAATTAGATGTACATATTTTTCTCATATAACATGCATAAAATGCACATCATATATAGGGGCTGTTTGTTATAGCTTCTACAAGGTGATTATAGCTTATTTTAATTTCAGAGTCTACCACAGACTATTTGGTGCAGCTTTTGCTTATAGCTTATTAGGCAGAAATAACTTGAATAAACTGAAAAAAACTGATTATTTGGAGGCTAGAGAAGGGGTGCTTTTAGCTTCTACTTTTTTATTATCAACTTTTAGCTTTAAAAAAACTCCACCAAATAGGGCCATAATATGGTGTTGTGTCCTTGTTATGTCATGTCCACTCCTACATTTTTATGATTTACGATACTGGCGTGTCCATATCATGTCATATCCATCTCTATGATATACATAGGCCACAGATATACAAGGAAGAAACTGTCACTCCATTGAAATGACCAATTTAAAAATTGAAATGCAAAACCTTTTATTCTGTGGAGTGATGACAAGTTGAACACCTAATTAAGATATTTTGGACTTCATAGATAACTTCAACACTCTTTTTCTTTTTTTCAACTAAATGTATATTCTGTCTAATTGGGATTGTGTCCACTTTACCATCTTATGGTTGATTTGCTGTTATCAAAAATGAATTACAAAAACAAACAGATATATATATATATATACAATTTTTATTAATATATGCTAGTAAGTTGCTTTAAACCATTCCAAGAAAGCCCTTGAAATATTGACCACTTAAAGACTAAAATCGATCAAACTGAACAGCTATAGAAAAGATAAAGAAGAGAACAACAAGAAAAAATTAAATTTTCCATCTTACATTCTATATCCCTCTGACGTGTAAACTTCCTTTAAATTCAATATTTTCTGGTCAAAAGCAACTGTTTTTCCCACGTCATAATTTCTGACGAGCACTTGTCTCTCTGCACCACCCTACAAAAAATAAAGAGGTTATCAAAAGATGTTTAATGTACCCCCTAGTTCTTTAGAAGAAAGAAAAAAGTAAGAAAAGAAAATGATACAGATGTAGGTAACAAGAATTAGATCCTGACATTGATTCAAACAAAAAGTTAGATTTTGGATTACAAAAGTTATTCCATCATTATGAATATCAAGCAGTGAGCGCAAATTAGTTCCAATGTTCTTGACCAGATGAAGATAAGTTGAATACAGTGTCATATAAAGTGGACAACAGCAGAAGCATTGCTCAAATGAACAGTCACTTTTATTTAAGCAATAATAAGCTGAATAACAGAGGACAGAATAAACATTAACAACAAAACTGGTTGTTTATAACTTTTTGCATTTGTTAGCATCGGCTTGATGCATTTCTCTTAATATATTGCCTTTATTTGTTGATAAAAAACATACAGGAACATGGAAGCCCAGTATATTACCAGATCCACCAACACATTCAGAACGGTTGGATTGTCAGAATGTATAACTGAAATAGTAGTTGGGTGATTGGTCTGGGGAAGCATGTGATTTGGAATATACAACCTACAAAAGAAAATGTACAAGTGCAATCATGAGAAAGATCACTTGGCATAAGTAAAACCCATGTGCAACTAAATCAATAGTGCAAATCTACAGACATAATCACTCCATACCTTGGTCTAGCAAAGTCATATATGATAATCTGAAGGTAGTTGTAGCCTGCTTCCCTGGCACATCCTCTCAAAAGAATAGAATCTCTATGATCCGTCACAATGAAAGCATTAAGCAATTTGCCTATGGCACTTTCAACAGCAACAGCCCACGTATCACCATGAACCAAAGACTGAATTACATAATCACATGTTTTATGAAGCGTTAAGAAGTAATTACAACGACATGATCTAGAGAGATCAAAAATTCAAAAAACAAATGCCAGAAGGTATTGATCTTCTGTGAAAAGGATTTTTTTTTCTTGAATGTAGCTTTTAATTTGGGCAGGTCAATTAGTAAAAAAATGCAAATTTACAAAATGGATCGTTTACAGATAAAGAAAAGTCATAATGATAACATATACACATATAGGTGCGGCACTCGTGCAAATAAGTTAATCTAAACCAACATTTACCATTAATGAAAAAAATGACCTGCATGCTTTGGTGATCATTACAATGATATTCATATAGCATCTGTTAAGCAAATTATTAATGGACTTTGTCTGCACATTTAGTTCAAGCGATAGAATCACAATTGACGCCAACAATTTTCTAGTCAATTGCATTCAAAGAAGAGTTTAGGCAAACTATGTTATCAGAAAAGTATAGAAGCTAGCTATTTTATTTTTGCTCACCAAAATAGTAAAATGCTTCTTTTGAAAATTTGGAAAGGCTGAAAGGTGAGCTCCACCGCAAGGGAAAGGATACTCATTGAGAAAAGACAGCTAAATAACCAAATCAGACAATAAAAGTAAGCCCCAATTTGATTGAATGAACTATAATGCAGCATTTCTCTTCTGTGACCACCAAATAGAGCGATAACGCAAATATTGTTATATGCGTGTACTGATTTAACTAATGCACAATCACACATGCACACACCCACACATTTAGATAGGCACGATTATTCTCAACCACTAACCACGTGGGCTCCAATAGGACCAATGGGTGGTCTTTTGAATCTATGATGATGTCTCTCAATTGCCTGTAAAAGATTAGTCACTCTAACTCCTCCAAAAGCTGTGACCTGTGGTAAAAGAAGCATTGGCATTAGCAAGCAATACAGTTGTTATGAAAGGATAAAAACGTAAGTTTTGCAGATGTCAACGGACTCAATTATTCAAAAAGGCATAATGATGTAGACATATGAAACTAGGCTTTTAGATGCCTAAAAAAAATGTTCCATCATGTTCACTTGCATACAAAGACATCAAAGCTAAGGAATTATCCAGACCTTGTTGGTTTGATGTAATCGGAGATCACGAATGTATGAACCAATCTCACGCTGCTTCTTGTCATTATCTTGAATCTGAAAATGAAAACATTGATCAGTTAACTCCCAATTTATCAACAATCATAGATGACATTTAGAAAACAAAAATCATGAACTTTTAATATACTAATTGAAACCTGCAAAATGAGCAACTGTGTATGAGCCTCAAACAAAACTAAACTTTGTGAGACATGTCTCACATGTTTAATGAATTAAAACCAAAAGTCAAGGCCAAGTAAAACTAGAACTGCCAAGTCATCACAGGGGGTGGGTGCAGGGCAGACGGTTTTAAAGCAGACTCCTCATTCATTAGATAGAGAAGATCACCAAGATTTCGTGATCCGGTGCCGAACTTATGCCAATTCCTATTATTCAATTCTGTACCAATAGATTTCTACATCTTTTACAAGAAACTTCTTTCATATACAACAATATGATATGACAAAGTCAAATTTCATTAACAAGCATTGAAGGGACATCTATAAGCATTACACAGAAGCTAGCCAAAACTATAGACCTTCACCACAGTTAATCTCTCCTATGAAATCAATTAAAGAAAAAGATGAGTCGAAAAATTTCAAAAAAAATTTCCATAAACCAAAACTGAAAACAATGCGGTACATAACATTTCGGCCTATGAATTGCAATCTCCACATCATCAAAAGTTGGCCTATACTTCTATCTCCAAACACACCACATCAAGCACATGGGAGCAGTGTTTGATGCCTTCCTCAACCTATTGCTGCCCATGACTCAAAAAATATAAAGCCCCAGAGGCCGGCGGAACTCAAGATACTCCAAAAATTAAAATTAGGGTAAATTACACTTACCTCCCAAGTTGATTCCCCTTTCTGCCATTTATTCCCTAGATGTGGTTTAGTTTTGAGATAAAATGACAAAAATATCCCTCATCTTCTCCATAGTTCTACCACTATAGTATCAACAAATTCAAAAAAAAAATATTACTAATTAGAATTGTAATATACTGCATTTTTTTAGAATTGTCGTGTCTCCAACACATGTCGGACACTCGTCAAAACATGTTCCATTATTTTTGAATTTTTTTTAAATAGACACTTTTTGAACACTTGGGGACACACGTAATGAAACTAATTGTAAGTTTGAACAGAATTACCTACGGTACGAAGATAGAAGAAAAACAATGTAGATTTATAAAAATTAGCATTACGTTGAATTATTTTTAATGATATATCATATATATGAAGCTTGAGTAATCAGCTTAGGGTTTGATAGGATATCATCCCCTATTTATATAGATGAAGATTAGCGTTTGTAACAATTACAAGATGAGACAATTACAAGATGAGCCCTGAGGGCATAGAATAATTACAAACCAATAACTCAGATAATAATATAATATGCTAACACTTCCCTCAAACTGGTACGAAGATATCTCTCATGCCCAGCTTGCCTAATATTTCATGAAATGGTTTATTCCCAACCACCTTGGTGAGACTGTCAGCAACTTGTTCACCAGACTGGACAAAAGGAGTAGAAATGGTACCACTAGTAAGTTTCTCCTTAATAAAGTGGCGATCAATCTCAACATGTTTTGTCCTGTCATGTTGAACTGGATTGTGAGCGATGTTGATGGCGGCCTTATTATCACAGTATAACCGCATGGAGTCCGTCTGATCAATATCTAGATCACTCAACAATAACTTGATCTATAAAAGTTCACACACACCTTGTGTCATAGCTCTAAACTCAGCTTCTACACTTGACCTGGCAACCACATTCTGTTTCTTACTCCTCCAAGTAACTAGGTTGCCTCCAACAAATGTGCAATACCCTGAAGTCGATCTCCTATCAGTTACTGATCCAGCCCAGTCAGCATCTGTATAGGCTTCCACACGAAGATGATCATACTTTGAAAAATAAAGACACTTATCAGGAGCAGACTTCAAGTACCTCAAGATTCTCATGACAGCCTCAAAGTGAATCTGATGAGGAGCATGCATAAACTGACTAACGACACTGACAGCAACAGCAATATCAGGACGGGAGTGAGATAGGTAAATGAGCTTACCCACTAATCGCTGATAGCTCCCCCTATCAACAGCTTCTCCTCCTTCATCATCCCCAAATTTCTGATTGGGTTCCAATGGAGTGGCACATGCCTTGCAGCAAAGCATCCCAGTTTCCTCCAACAGGTCAAGCACATATTTTCTCTTTGAGATAAATATTCCATCCTTAAGAGCGAGCAACTTCAATCCCCAGAAAATACTTCAAGCTTTCCAAACCTTTGATTTCAAACTCACTAGCTAAATATTTCTTCAACAGAGGTATTTCCCCACTATCATTGCCCGTAAGAACTATGCCATCTACATAAACAATAAGTGCTGTAGTCTTACCATGTGAGGAATGTTTCACAAACAATGTGTGATCTGCCTGACTCTGTTTGAAGTCATATTTAAACATAGCCTGAGTGAATCTCTCAAACCAAGCCCTTGGAGACTGTTTGAGACCATATAATGACTTCCGAAGCTTGCATACTTTGCTTTCTGTTTGATGATCCTCAAAACCAGGAGGAATGTCCATATATACCTCTTCTTCGAGATCACCATGGAGAAAGGCATTCTTGACATCAAACTGATAAAGCGGCCAATCTAGATTAGCTGCTAGAGATAGAAGGACTCTGACTGAATTCATCTTAGCCACGGGTGCGAAGGTCTCCTGATAATCAATGTCATATGTCTGAGTAAACCCTTTTGCCACAAGTCTTGCCTTGTAACGCTCAACAGATCCATCTGCTTTGTGTTTCACAGTATATACCCATTTACATCCCACAGGTCGTTTGCCCGTAGGTAACTCAGTCAATTCCCAAGTGTCATTCTTCCTAAGTGCTTTCATTTCCTCAATCATGGCTAGTTTCCACTCAGAGGTAGCAAGAGCATCCTGAAAATGGTTAGGAATGCTTACAAAGGAAATATTGTACACAAACGCTCTATATGAGGATGACAATTGAGAGTAGGACACAAAATGTGAGATAGGGTGTTGAGTACAAGATCTCACACCCTTCCTCTTGGCAATAGGACATCAAGATCAATGGACTCAAGGGATTCAAAGTTACCTAGACTCTTATCAGAAGTACAAGATGGCAGTGGAGGAGCAGAAGTCTTCCCTCGTATCCAGTTAACTTGTTGTCTGTCTATGTCCCGGACATAAACATGTCTGTCATTATCCTTGGTGACATTGGGTTCTATAGTCCCAGTAGAAGAGGGTGGTGCAAGAACAACTGGTTCCACCATAGGAAGCACAGTAGAAGAGGAAGGTGCAGGAACAACTGGGTCCATCATAGGAAGCACAGGACTTACTTCACACCAAGGCTTCCCCGGAAATGAGGATAATGACACCAGAGAGGACAAGAAATAGGACTGGGACTCAAAGAAAATAACATCCATGGACACAAACCACTTACGGGAAGAAGGGTGGTAACATTTATACCCCTTTTGAGTAGGAGAGTAACCAAGGAAAACACACTTGAGGGAGCGAGGGTCCAACTTACCACGAGAAGGAGAGTGATTATGAACAAAACAGACACAACCAAATATTTTAAGAGGAATAGAAAACAAGGACTGGGAACCTAGGAGGACGTGAAGAGGAGCTTGTTTTTGCAAAACCTGGATAGGGAGACGATTAATAAGATGGGCAGCGGTGAAAACAGCGTCGCCCCAATAGGGCCGAGGCACACTCATAGAAAAACACATGCACCGAGCCATGTCAAGAAGATGCCGATTCTTGCGATCCGCCACCCCATTTTGTTGAGGGGTATTGGTGCAAGAGGTCTGATGGATAATGCCATGAGTAGAAAAATATTGTCCTAACCCAAAATCTATGTATTCCCCGCCATTATCAGAACGTAATAGTTTGACAGTGGCCCCAAACTGAGTACAAATCATCTTATGAAAATTGCAAAACACAGAGAAAACCTCACTCTTATCTTTCATGAGATACACCCAAGTAGCACGAGAAAAATCATCAATAAATGTAACAAACCATCGATGACCTTTCACAGACATAACACGAGAGGGACCCCAAACATCAGAATGTATTAATGAAAAATGAACTAAACTTTTATTCAAACCGGGAGCAAAAGAAGCACTGTGTTGTTTTCCAAGTTGACAAGACTCACAAAGAAAGTCAGACACATGATGATTTGCGAAACCAGATGAAAATAAATGCTTAAGTAAATAAAAGGAAGGATGCCCAAGACGCCGATGCCACAGCCATAAATCAGCGGGGGTAGCAGAAGACGTGGTGGAAGAATAAGCAAGTTGGTCCGGTTGATCCAGGAAGTAGAGACCATTTTATGCACTACCACTGCCAAATCGTCCTCCTCGTGATAAGGTTCTGAAAAAGACAATGATCAGGAAAAAACGTCACACTACAATTCAAATCTTGGGTAAGACGACTCAAGGATAAAAGATTAACAGAAAAATTAGGAACATGGAGAACAGAAGATAGATGTATGGTAGGAGTGACAAGGACTAAACCTTTTCCAGAAATTGAAGAAACAGTACCATCTGCAATCCTAACATTGTCCTGACTTGAAGAGGGCTTATAAGCAGAGAAAAGATCAGAGGAGCCAGACATATGATCTGAGGCACCAGAATCAATAATCCAAGGCAAAGACTTATGACACAGGAAAACACGAGAAGAAGAGATTAAGTTACCTGAGCGGGCAAAGGATGAGGAAGCTGTACTGAGTGTAGTAGATGACCAGCGGTCCAACAATTGGCACAGAGCATCCTCAAGCTCAGAATCAGAAGCTTGGCCAACTGAAGCAGAATTAGAATCAAGTGTATCAACGGCACTAGACTGATGAGCCCGGGAATAGGAACCACGTCCTCTAGACTGGCCTGACCGACCTCCTCTAGAACCAGACCGATCACCTCGACCCCCGGATGGAGTCCCATGAAGCTTCCAACACGTCCCACGAGTATGCCGCGGCTTCTTACAATAATCACAGAATACAGACTCCTTAGCAGCAGAAGGAGGGATGGGAGTCAGGC